ACTGTTTGGCGGAAGTAATCATCATCAGGGCCGCCGAAGAGACTTTGAGTTTGGCAAACACGCTTTTCACACAAAATCTGGGAAATGGGATAACAATCAGAGGGAGAAAAGGGTTTTAAATTCAATTGAGGAATGGGTTTTTAAATATTTTTCTAAAGAAAACTGGATTTATACCTCAGACCAAGGTATTTATTTATATTTTTTCTGTATTATTTCTATAGCATACTTCTTTTAAGAAGATTCTGCTTTTTTCTCGGAAATTGATTCCGAATTTTTGGGTTGCACTTTCTCCCTGTGCAATCATACGACCAGTGCATTTATGTCGCCCAGACTTTGTCGATGCGGCTGGATGGCTGGTTAATAGTTCCGCAAACAGCGGGCCCTGGCCAAAAACGAAAGTTGCAACTTGCCGGGGCGGCAGATGAGTCAGCAGCGGACTGCAGCCGGAACTGGAGCCCAGGGCACTTCGGAGTGGCGCCAAAGTCGGGACCATTATGTGGCAATTATGCTGGCAACCCCCTCATGATTGTTGGGAGTTGGGTAAACCAACCCCGGGCGCTCGACGCCAGACGCACGACATGACGTCGTCCGGCGACCACAAGTTTCCTTTTTAACAACTCCGCGGAGTTACCCCCGAAAAATCGAATCGTTATTCAATGCCGCCCCCTTGCAGCGAGTGGAAAACAAACTTTGCCCCATGTTTGTTGTCAACAAATATCGGCTCTAATTTTAACGCTGCGTGCAGTTCGGCCGAGTTTAGCCGTTCGCAGCTGCACAACTTCGGAATCACTGGGCTTTTTCAGGCCGGGAAAACTTATGGCAGCGACTAGCAGATAAACAGATACAAAAGTATCTACAAGTTGTCCCCGCGTCGAGCAACAGCATGTGTGTCTTGTGTGTCTGCCAGCCTGCAATTTGTGCAGCTTTTGTCGCAATGTCAAGAAACTTTTGTAGCTCACCCATTCCAGTTCCAGCTGCCCATTTTCAACTCCCCAAAACAAACCCCCACGCAGACGGCAAACTGTTAAGTTGTTTTGGCATTTTATGTGCATAGCATTTAGGGATCAAGACATCGAGAATTTATGCCCAGAAATGGTACGAGGCGCATTTGCGACCCTGTACTTGGCTCAGATTCGGGACTCCATTTATCCATTTATCAAGTGCTGCGATACTGTTTCCCACAGGCTGCCACATGATAGTCCGACCGTATCGCATTGTTTAAGTTGGTCGAGATTACCCAAAGTCAGTTTCCAACTTTAGTTTTGCATTAGCTTAATTTAGGCAAATTTATACGCATGTTCACGGTGGGAAAAGACAACTTGTATAAGGTTTTTCGTGTTAACATCAAACGAGAAATTAAAACCGCTCAGTGGGTGTGTAAATAAATTATCAAAAAGCTAAATTTTTATTTTAAATTTTTATGACTCCCCAAAATATTTAAAAATATTAAACAATTCATTGGGGAAAAAATATATATTCATTTTTTTGTGTTGTCTAAGACTTTTTATTAAAAGAAAACAAAGAAGATGGGTTTTTAATAAGCAATTGACTTCGTTTTTTATTATTTTCTTTCAAATGGAATGTTGTTTTTTCTGTGTATTTCCCTTGAAGACTTCCACTTTTGAACATTTCTCTTGGGGTGTACGTGCGTGTGGCAATTATGCATTGGGGAAAAACTTTGTAGACACTTGAGAACTCCGGGCACAGGTCAATGCAGCTCAATTAAATGGCTTGTCCGAGGGCTTTTGTGTGCGGCACCCATTGACTTCAGTAAAAGGACGGCTGTTTTGGGGTGAAGCGCTAAAACATTTCAATGGGACTTGGGGGTGGTTAAAAAAAATAACTCTGGCGCCGGGGCACAAACAAGATTTTCCAAGTTTAATGGGGAATTTCAATCAAGCGCTGGCTTTTGCATGCCACTCGCTAAGTATCTTCAAGTGCTCCCGACTCCAGCCATGTGCATTTGATAGATACATTTGATGTGGCCACTGCACTCGGCTGTTTGTGCTCCAATCCATTCCATCGCACAACCCCCTCTTCCACTCCACTCTCTTGAAAGTCATATCTTATCGGCTTATCTGGAATACCAGAGACGAAAACACAGACGGCGATTGTTGTTGTTCTGGTTGACGTCGTGTTTGGCTGCCATAAAGATACTTGAATTGAACTTATTGTAATTAATACGAGTACGATTCGCCGCAGTATTTTCAATGCCAGCCGCTGGAAATGAATCTCCTTCGGCTGCAGAACGACTCTGGGCATTTTAGCATGCCTTCTGCGGTTTATCAATACAATGGGGGGAGTGCGGTGGAAAATCGGAGGGAAGACGAGCATGTGAAGCCCCAGCAAAGCTGGCATGTGTGTGGAAAAGCGCTGGAAAAACCCACCCGGAAGTTCAGACCTAATGCGTTTTTGCGTTTGCGGGGCGTGTGCAGTACATTTGACATGCCAGCAGATACAAAGATACATTAAAACCAATTCCAAATCCATTAGCTGGAAGTGGGCGACGGTGGGCGGGGCCGGCGCCCTTAAGTGTTTTCAATTAATAACCAAACTCTCGCTTGGCAAAAATTTTTTTCGAAATATTTTGACGACAGCCTGGGCTAAGTGATTGCGTTTCTTGAGTTTCCCCTGTAACGACAGTTAATTTGGCATCTTTTTATTACTTTGACGACAAACAACTTCCGCCAATAAAGTAATCAGGAGTGGAAAATATAATTCCTGGAACGCTAAGTAACTATAATGATTTTGCAATCTCAATTACAACAATCAGTACTCGATTGCTAGACATTTAATAATTGTAACTTCAGTCGATAAATGCCACAAAATAAATAATTTCAAGGGCAAAATGAAACTTGTTTATGGGTGAATACATTTTAAAGCAAGTTTTCACTGTAATTGCAAAATAATGGTACTATTAACAGTTTCATAAATATTCCATCTCACCATGTGTTCTGGTAATAAGGAATAGCATATTTCTTTTTATATAGCGCAAAATAACAAGTCGAAAGTCCATAAAAAATACTATTAAAAGACCCAATATTTTACTGTGTGTTTCAGTAAACTAATTAGTTAATTGGGCAAGCAACTATCATTATTTAGAAAGAGTATATCGAAATACTTTCTAAGTCTATATGCCCGACACTTAACGTCATCGTCTTAATCAATTTCTTTCAATCTTAAACAACTTGATTGTTTGCCTGCTCCCAATACCAATAATCTAATGCCAATCGATCAACACCATACTGCAATTCCATCCATCAACACCATACTCGTATAGAACCGATTCCGATTCCGCCATCAATGCCGTCCAACTGCAAAGCACAACCAACTGGTCGACTGGTCGACTGGTCGACCCATTTCAAGACACTTATTAAATCAACAACACAGCAACAATTTCCCGATGAGTTCTCGACTATAACTCAGGTTTTTGCTGCTGATATTATTGCTGCCAGTCCGTTCAATCCATTGCGCAAATATTGCAAAGTCAAAGTCCAATAAAGAAAAACCCAAGTCGGCGGAGAATCGAGGGAAAAAGACTCCGGCTCTCATCTTCCATTCCACTCGGGGTCTTTTACCCAGAATTTCGACTCGCTTTTTTGCCTCTGTCTGCATGCTTTGTAATTTTTATTGCTATTTCGCTAAATTGTTGTCAATTGACTTGAGATTGGCGCAAGTTTGGAGCATGTGTAGTTGCCAGTTTTTGGTCTACTTCGCTGTTTTTTTTTGTGAGCCGCCAAGCATTACAGTTTGATTACAAACTATTGACGATGGACTCCAAAGCAACCAATAAATCCTCAAACAGTTTGCAAACTTTTTTAGCAAGCACTTTAAACTTTTTATTAGTTAATTTTAAAAAACCCCATGGCATTATTGTGTCTTGATTTTTGCTTAAAATGTTTGATAAACAAGTACAGACATTAAACAGTGCTAAACGAGCAGAAGAAATCATCGACGATTCGCTGAAATTTTTGATTGGCATTCTCGCCGGCCATTAAATTTTGTTTTGCGCCAGCGAAACTGCGAAACTGCGGCGCAAAAAGTCTTGTTTGCCACAAAAATAGATGGGTATCTTGGTAAATAAATAAATAATACTAAAGTAAGCTAGCGGCGAGCGGTGCAATGGCAAACGAGACTTTTGTTTAGACTTGACAAAGGCCGCAGGAAGATATAAAACAGTAGCCGAGAGGCAACGGAATTCTATGCCAAAATCACGAAACAAAACATTTTTTTTTTGGGTCATCGTTAGCCATTTTGGCAGTGGCCATCTGTCCGTTTGCAATATGTCGCATGCGGCCGAAAAGCATTTTTCATAGGCCACCTTCTCGCACTGGAAAAAACGTTCGGTCGCGTTCTTTTGTCCCTGTAAAAAAAATGCTAATTCGCTGTCAGCACCCGTAGATATTGGCAATTTGTTGACCCTTCTTCATGCTCGTGTGGCTTTTGCGCTGTTCTAATATTCTGCCCGCTGGGTTAATAAACTTGTTGCCGCTCGACACGGCCCATAAATAAACACTTCTATTGATTTAGTACATCGACTGCGAACACAAAGCCAATCGTTCTGGCGTTCTCCTTTTTTTTTTCGGACAGTGTTTACAAGACTCTTAAGCCGCTTAAATGCGGAGCCAAGTCGTTTCTTCTTTTCCGCAGAAATACTTAATATTTATTTTGATTATACAAATACTTAATGTATAAGAACATCGAACAATGGCCAGGCAACAAAAGACGCCTGTGGGCGGAGCTTCGGGCTCGAATTGATGATTATTATTGTTGTTGACTCCTCAATGGCAATCGTAAATGAATACACCCGAAGAAAAGACCCAACAATCTGGAAACCCTAAGCAGGAAATGGCAATACACATGGATACGGAGAAACCCAATCTTCAGAGGTTTTTCCCAGTGCTCTGTCTTTTGATAATTCATTTGCCCTGCGAATTGGGCGCGTCGGGTGTTTGTTTGAGTGCCTTATGGGTATTTAAGGTGTTGGCTGCGACACTCACATGATTCAGGCGTGCTGCGATCTTGGCGTGCTCCTCCTGATAGGCTTTCCGGGCCTTTCGCTTGTCCTGTGAGAGATGTGTCAGCTTGTCGCAGACCACTTCCAGTTGCTCGGCATTGAACTTGAACTGTTTGGCCTGCTGATCCAGCTCATCCAAGTAGGATCGCCAGGACTTGGTGATCAGACTGCCTGCAAAAGTCAAAAGAATTGCAATCTTCAATAAAAATAAATTCCTTTTAAATATACATCAAAATATTACAATAACTGGAGATTGCTCTATTGTTGTAAAAATTAATTATACAAAAAACAAACAGCTTAATAAGATAGGAGTCAGGTATTTAGTGAATGGTATTAATGAAATCTATGCTATTTACCTAGCTTACGTGGTAGTAATCATGTGACAACTTAATTGTAGATGCATTATAAGAGGACAAATTAAATCTTTATTAGGAACAGTCTAAACCGCGGTAAACCGCAGCTAATCTGCAATTTACCCGGAGAATGACTCACTGGAGTTTCAACCGCTCAGCAGTTGGGTAAAAGTGCAATCGCAAGCCCCCGGCAATGAATCATTTCTCTTGAGCCAGCTTTTCGCTAAAGCAAAGCAAATATCTTGACCATATTTTTGGGAAATTGTTTGCTGAGCAAATCGAAACATAATACCCACGTCTGTTTTTCGGCAAAACTTTAAACTCCGTTTATTTTGCATTCAAATGCCAAGCGATTCAAGCTCATGGTCAAGGTGAGAGGCAAAACAGTCGGTGGAACTGGAGAGATATATGTTTATATTCGGGCTATATCAAATGGTCCGAACTAAATCATTCGGCTACGCTTTTGTGCACTTTCCGTGTGCGTGTGTTCGCAGCCAGCGGATGCGATTGTTTGGCCATGTAAACAACAACGAAAACATTTCCCAGGCGGAGCGAAGAAACTCTGACACTGACTGCAAATTATAGCAATTTCATGTGTTCTAGGGGAGCAGCGAGACAGCTGCACTTTGTCGACACTTTGATGAGCTCCAGAGAGGAGCTCTTGGCCAGAACAGCCCAGCACAGACCAATTTGGCCGGGGTAAGAAGAGTCCTGGCCGCCGGATGGCGATGCCACCCAGAGCACGGTAGTTGAAAACGATTTGCTTGTCTGGCGATTATCTCGAGTCGTTTGAAATAAAACCTAACGCGTATTATTCACTTGGAAATGCGATCAAGTCACGCGATAGCCACTAGCCAGTTTCCTTGGCTCTGCAGGCTGCCAAAATTCACACCAGTGAAAAATGTGTGGTAGAAGGGCTGCATTTCATTCTCCACCCTTGCGATATAAGATATGCTTTTGTGACGCCAGGCAGCTCGAACGGAGGCTATTAACACTGTCGCCGCATTATCCATCCACCGGCTTATCGACACTTGCTCTCCAAACTGCCGGACATTTACCCTGACTAATGGATAATACGCTGCTGAATGCTGTAACCGCACTGGCCACCCAAACAAATAGTGTGAGTAATCCCCCAGAGGTCAATGGAGTTCGGGAAACTTGTTAGCATTCCTAGACCATTTAGCAATAAATTTAATTTCGGGAGCATATGTCTAAAAACAGTTCTTGGAAACAGATCTTGTAATATATTTATTTTGTTCCCGTTTCCGTGGAGTAACTTAAAGATTACAATTGCTTGCAGTCTGAATCCCATTGAGAAATAAGCTTTAACGGAAATAAGACTCAAATCAAAAGATAAAAAGTTATTGGCTGTGCAATCTAATCGGATCTGCAGTGTGGCTCGAATCGCGTGTCTTACCTTGCATTTCGTCGGCCCGATCGATTTTGAGGCCCTGTTGGGCCACAGCTGTCAGGCTGATGGCGTACTCCTTGTCGCACTTGGCCTTCATCTGGATGGACCTCTTCATGGTCTCCATCAGCCGGAGCTCGGCGTCCTGGCGAACGATCAGCGCCTCGTGGGCGGCCCGACTTTGCAGGGCCGATGAGAAGCCCATCTTGCTCTCGATGCTACCTATTTAGGTTCCGGCTCTCTGCGAGATACGATTCAAGGGGGATGTGGTTAAGAACGGTTCTTATTGCGGGTCCGAAGTGGAAGGCAAGTGGTTTTCGGGGAGAGCGGACTGAACTCAAGGGAATTGCACAAGAAACACAAGAAAAAACACAGCGGACATGTGGCAAACACTTGTTGCATGGCAATATTTTTGAGGGGTTTCGCTGGCGTTGCTCTTTACCGCCTCACTGAAATTAATTATTTATGTCACACACACTTTTTTGAACATTTTTTGTTCGGCCAAAACAAACTTTCACATGCGTTGACATTTCTGGAGGTTTTTTTTCCGCTTTGCTTGCATATGTCACGACATTTGCTAATTACACACGATCTCGTCCCGGCTTTTGATTAACGACTTTATTCGAGTCACTGGCAAATGGCATACGAGTATACGTTTTTTATCCGCTAATTAACGCATTTTCCGCTCTCACCCAACCCGACACTTGCACATGAATGTATGTATTTATTTTTTTGGTATTTTGAATGCAACAGTTGTCTTCACTTGAACTTTTCCCCAAGTATTTTCCAAAGCAAAGCGAGCCAAGAGCTGTGGCGCAGTTGCTGCTCCTGCTGCTGTTGCCTGATGGTTGTTATTGTTGTTGTTGTTGTTTTGGTTTCAAAGAAAAAAACTTGTTTTTCCCGCTTGCTGGGCGAGCAAACAAAAATAAACATTGCCCCAAGGGAGGAGGAGCAGGGGGGAAGTCAATAAGGAAACACAGCGACAGAAGGTGTGTGCGGCAAGTACGTGTATCTTGAAGATACACAAGAAAAAGAGCATCAAACCAAGTCATTTCTCATTTTGATTTGTGAATAATGTTTGAAGGAGATGTGTTTACGTTAGTGTCACTTTTTGGCATCGCAAGCTGACGGGATTTAAACAATAGTGTCTCGGTAAAATAGTTGGAATATTTTGGTGTATATTTAGCAACTGACTTGAGAGTAAATTAAAAATAGTGACACCGAAAGTGACAGATAAGGTCAGAGGTAATAAAAGTGAGAGATCGGTTCTCATGGCCAATCTTAGAATATTTTTATCTCACGAAATGTCACCTGAATATTTTTATACTGAATGCGATTAAATACAAATATAGTTTTAATCTGATTAAAGTTTTTAATTGTTTATATCATCTTATGATTTCCAATTTTTTTCTCTGTTTCCTTGGATGCGCCAGAACAACAACTTGATGCATTGTCTGTATGTGCGTGTGCAGTTGGCCAAGTCGAGTAAAACATAAACGGGTTAGGCAGCAACTAGGGGAGCATCCCCAGCCACCAGAACCAGAACAACAACAAAAACAACCGAGACTTGGAGAAGAGTAGTAGCAGTACCACCGTTATATAAATTAAAAATGTAAATAACAATTTCAGCGGTGATCACGAAATAAATCCCCTTGTTTCCTTTGGGAGGGTAAACCACAATTACCGCAGAATTTCTTTGCCGTCGGATTTCACTTGCAATTTGCGTAATCAGAGCACAGTTCTTGGCACAATCATAATTAAATATAGATCTTTATCGTGTCAAAGGCCTTATCAGCGACGACGAATATGAATTTCGTAGGCCTATCAGATGCCTGCACTTCACATGGCCACGACTTGAGAATCGCGAATGGAGCACTGCACACAGAATATCGGACCGAATCGAGTCGCGGGGAATATTAAAACCAGGCCCAAACACAGCAAACCGTTTGCCTCGAATGTTCAGCGGGAACTGAGCGCCGGCCCAAAACCAAACGAGCAGTCGAGCCGACGCGGCGAATGAGCAACGCGAGAAAAACAGAGAAACCGAAAAGAGGCGAGAGAGAGAGAACGGTCAGGAGAACCGGTTGTTGGAAACCCAGCGAACATTTTGGGAAATAAAAGAAAGGAGGAAGGTTCAATAGTGGGTTATCCTAAGGGATTAGTTTTGTTTGCTGACTTTTGCCTTTTGACGTTACCATTATGAGCTACCCTCTTTAATGATGGAAGTCTTTTAACCTTTTGCTGATTTCAACAGATTAGATAGATGGATAGTTGTTATAATAAAAAATAGGTCCTTCAAATTCAAAATTGAGCTCACTATTTCCACTTTCATTATCATAGTAGTAAATCCTTTCTTGTACTTTTTTTGGTTTTCCATTTTCCGTCCTGGAATTGTTAGCAAGCATCACTTTCCCAGACAGCAATGACTGCTGTAATCGGAGAATTACCAAATTTCCGCACTATTAATTACACAGGTTCGTGCGATTCAAAGGACAGCTGCCAGGATCTAGACGCACCCACCCACCCACTTAGTCGCTTTGGAAACGGAAGCAGCTGAAATGTAACCAAAACAAAAGCTATGATAAATGTTGTGCGTAGATCTACCCTTGAATAGTCCTCGCTGAAACACCCCCGCAACCCAAACCCAGTGCAATGTCCATTTAATTTTCCCCCTTTCGTTGACTGTCAGTTTCACGATAAATGCGAAAGTGCATTTGTTCATCAAATGCAGGCTGGCCAATAAATTCATTAATAAATGAGAAAGTGAAAAGCACAGCAGCTCCACCGCTCCTGATGCTCCTTTCCTTTGTTGTCCTTGTGGTCGTCGATGGTCGTCCTGTGCTGCGCATAATGCAAACAGTTTTTACAAACTCCTGCACTGTCAGACGCTTTGCTTCCATGCACAGAAAATAATATTTACAAAAATTTTAAATAACAACATAAAAGCCATAAGATTTCCAACTCAAAAAAGGAAGGAAAAAGTTCGAGAATTCAAGGGTTCAGATATGAACAACGTGGATATGTATATCCTCATCTATTAAATATTAAAAAGATTTTTTTGTGTGCGACCAAACCACTCCATAGACCACCTCCCCAACCTCCGGCTGAATAATGGATATTGAAATCGCATCGGTACTTGGCAGGGTGTGAGATATTGTACTTTATGCCGATTAATGCTGCCGCGTCGGAGGACAAAACCCCTGACCATTGATTTGATTGCCGGGCAAATGGCGCGCCACCTCGGCCACCTCTTGGCCATAATATTTTGCGCCAGCAGGCCAGACGTCTCTTAGCCAGCCTGTTGCCCAAGACCGTCGCTCAGCGTGCTCTTTGTTCGGCCAGCCATTCATCTCCCGTTGTTGTTGTCGTTGTTTTATTTTCACTCTGTGTGTTTTCTTCTGGGTTTTGGGATGTTTGCCGTTGTCTATGCACCGGGTACGGATCCGTTTCCCGGGTCCGGTCTGCTGTGTTTATTTTGGTTGGAGCCAGACGGGAAAAAAGAAGATTTACAAAGGCGCCTCGGCCTCATAAAGTATTTAGTGAGACGGCGATACCGACACCGGCCACCTTTCTTCCTGTGTCCTTATGACTGGACAGGATTTTCTTTATTTGCTTGTTTTTCCCTCGTCCTGCACCTCGTCCCGCTCGGGAAATTGGACCAGCTATAAGTAGAGAGGCGGCCTAAATATCTGCTTCTAATTTAAGCAGACATCGTGTATTGTAACGCATAGTTGCGTCACATAAATCTCTTTGAATGTCCCATTAATGTTTGAGTTTCTTTTGCAAGTGCAATTCTCGTGGATTTAGGGCATCACTTTCAGCTGCTTTCGGAGAACAGAAGAAAATGGACGGCAACAGTTGGCGGCCAATTGAAACTAATGAATAAATTACTTGTGCAGTGTAAGGCAGTAAAATTGATGAGAGAAGTTCAACATGGGTCTGAACTCGTGTATATCTACTTTGGGTTTATATAGCCAGAATGAGACCGAATGCTTCGGCAATGGGAACTCGACAAACAATAGAAGACCGACTCGAAAATTGTGCAATTATGTGACAGCAATAAATGGGTGGTTGATAGGTTAGATGAAGCAACCAAATCAAAACAAAGTCATTAAAGAACACCAAGCAATGCAGAACTGCGTTTTGAGTAATTTGTATCTGATAGAAGCACCTATAGATGCGTATGAATCTTTAAGGTGTCTACAATAAATCTTGAAGATACGAAGAATTTTAGGAGGAAAATACTTTACACAGACATTTAGAGATACTTTGGGAAATGGAAACCTGAAATATTCACTGACTATTTAGTGTGTGAGGGTAACACCTTTTAGCTGGAAGGTTGCTGCAATGTCAGGTGCCACAAGACACCTCCTGGCCGCCTTGCTGCTGCTTAGCATTCCAGTCAGAAGTCGGATAGAACCCATTGAGCCAACGACTCCCATGCCAATTTGTTGCTGTGTGCAAGAATTTCATTTATGTCAACAACAACAAAAGCAAAAACACAGACAAGTGCATCGACAGCAACAAAGAAACGGTAAACACGCCCAAGAAAACTGAGCAGCTCATTTATGGAAATTATTAAGTGCCAGCATTTGACCAAAGTGGTTGCGTCTCCCAGTCAAACGGCATTATTATGCGTACATATTTTTATGGGCAAGGGCGGGAATCCAAAGAAGCTCAGAAGAAACTGTCTGCTCAAGTGATTATAACCAAAATCTAATTAAATTAGGATTCCTTTTATTAAACTATTAAAAGCCGTCAAAGTTTTTGGAAAAACTTGCATACTAAGCTATAAAATTAAATACGGCACTTTCTATTTTCGTTTAGAGGTGTGAAACCGCAAAAAGTTCCCTTATTTTTAGTCCAAGAAATATGTTTTTCCATATAGATCAATTTGCTTGGTATATCTGACCGGGCAAGCCCTTTCAAAAGAATATACACATGATCACAAAAAAGTAATAACCCGTTTGGCCTTGGTCATTGCAACTTTGATTCTGAGCTTCTCCTAATTGATCTTAATTAATGCTCATTTTAATTCTTATGTTCTCTTTATTGTCTGCTCTTTGCCATGTAAAAATTTGCATACATATATGCAAAATACTTAAGCACTTACAAAGATGAGTAACTGCTTGTCAAATAAACTATATTTAATATTTTTAACAAAATTATTGGAGGTATCAAAACATATTTAAATAGTGTTATACCCTTTGACGAGTCTAAATATTTTAAGCATTGTAACGCCTTTCCTAATTATCCACTAACACCAAGTCATTGCTACCAACCGCAACCAGTTCTCACAGGATGCAGACCCTATAAATACCAATTTGCCAAAGAAAGTGTGCCACAGTAGAGCCTTAAAATGGAACCAGTGCAGTATAGCTACGAGGATTTTGGTCGGCTGCCCACCTCTGTGGTTCGGATAATGGGTTACGATATGCTGGAAGTGCCGAAGACCCTATCCCAAAGGATACTAATGCGACTATATCGCTTTCTATGCCTCGGTAGTCACATCGTCTGCGTGGCGTTCATGATATTTCGGATTATGGAGGTGAAAACTATTGACAGTGTGACGATGCTGATGCGTTATGGCACTATGGTTACCTATGTCATCAATTCGGATACGAAGTACTTCACCCTCATGCAACGAGTTGCCATCCAGAGTCTGAACTCCAAACTGGCCGAGCTGTATCCGAAGACCACACTGGACAGACTTCATCATCTGGTGAACGAGCACTATTGGCCAAAACCAATTGTCTCCGTGATAATCATTTACATTAGCTCCTCGGCGATGGTTGTAGTCGGACCGATTATTACATCGATGGTGTCCTATTTCACAAGCCACGGGTTTTCCTACATGCACTGCTATCAGTACTTTGAATTCGATCCTGAAAAGCAATCCGTTTGGATATACGTGGGCATTTATGTCCTGGAATGGCTGCACAGCACTCAGATGGTCATCTCGAACATTGGCGCAGACATCTGGCTGGTGTACTTCCAGGTCCAGATTATTCTCCATTTCAGGGGTATCATACGATCGGTAGAGGATTACAAACCCAGCGTGGATCACGACCTGGATGATCAACAATTCCTGGCTAAGATTGTGGACAAGCAGGTGATACTCGCCAAGTAAGTGAAATATATGTATAATAAAAGATGCACTGCAATTTATTTAATGTATTATAATAGTCTTCAAACGGATATCAATGGAATCTTTGGCCGATCGTTGCTTTTGAGCCTGCTGACCACCGCTTCGGTTCTCTGCACTGTGGCGGTTTATACGCTGATTCAAGGTCCAAGTTTGGAGGGATTTTCCTATGTGTTCTTCATCGGCACTTCGGCCATGCAGGTGTATTTGGTTTGCTATTATGGACAGCAAGTCCTGGATTTGGTTGGGTTTTTAATAGGTATTCAAGTTCGCTTAGTAACTATTCGTTTTCTTAGAGTTCCCAAGTGGCCCATGCCGTGTACAACCACGATTTTCATGACGCCTCTATAGCTTACAAAAAGATTTTGCTGATCATTATTATTAGAGCACAGCAGCCCGTGCAATTGAGTGCCATGGGGTACCTGCCCATATCGCTGGATACTTTTAAGCAGGTAAAACATCGGTGATGTCGCAGAGATGATTTCTAAACCTTTTTTCTTTCAGCTGATGAGTGTTACTTACCGGGTTATAACCATGATAAGACAGATGATTCAGTAGAAGGCACAGATTTTGCTATATTAGCCGCTTTAATCGCACTACGCTAGTAACAACATACATAACTACATGTGTAGATCACTTAGGATCTGAGGGCAGCTTGAAGCCCACCAAATCGGCAGTATCCCTTACGGATCTCTCGCCTCGCCCGTGAAATTCCTTGTAGAGCTCCAAGTACTTTCGCTGGCTGGACAGATAGGTCAAGTATGTCTGTCCCAGGAAGGTTGCTTCATTGCGAGCTTTGCAATGCTGTTGTTCTGTTGTGGCGAATTTCTTGTATTGCGCCAAAACATAACGTGCGGCCAGTGAGTCCTTAATGCAGCCATTTGGAGAAGCCTGGCGAAGCTCGTGCAGCAAGGAGCGCAGCACCTTAGTTCCCGACATCCTACACACAAAAATATCAGACGTATTTTTAGAGAAATCCGAATTACCAGCGACTTACGTGATTTTTAGGAAACTTCGAAGTGTTTCTGCCGCACAGCTGATTTCCGCAGGGTTGCCACATTGATGTAACTGTCACAACAAAAGTAAAGCACAGTGAACCCTCAATGTAGTGGACAAACATACCGCAGCCTTGCTGTCAAGACCGACAGAGTAATATATTAAGTATAACATTTAGAGAATTTTTTTTTTAGCACAACAAACATATAAGGTGTAGATGTATTTTGTAGTGCATTCTTTTTTTTATTTAGGAAATATCTTAAATCTTATTACTGCTGGTGGAGCACAGCTTCAAAATATATATTCCAAGTAGAATCGCATTCTTGTTTTTTCATATAAACTAAAAATCGCGCTTCCGCCTATGCAGACCCATTCTAGTTCCCCGCACAAGATGCCCAATCAGAAAAACGATAGCACCCAATTGGATTGAAAACATTGCACTAACCAATAACAAAAATTTGAGTATCAAATCCGTTTGGAAAAACCGTTTATTTTAAAAGTTATTTAGCAGTTAACCGAACTCGTGGAGTTGGCGCGTTCACTTCCTGGGCTTTCCGGCGGCTGGCTTCTGGCCGGGCTTCTTGCCAGCGGCTCCCTTGGCTCCCGCTCCACCCTTGGTGACCTTGCCGGCACCGGCCTTGGTACCCTTGGCTCCGGCAGCTGGCTTCTTCTTGGGCTCGGGCTTGGCCTTGGGGGCCTTGACCGGCTTGACCAGAGCCTCGCGCTGGCTCTTCAGGGCCTTCACGATCTTCTGCTCCTCAATCAAGAAAGCGCGCACGATGCGCTCACGCAGGCAGCTGTGGCACAGAACTCCTCCATAGGTCCTGGACACGGTCTTCAGGCGCTTGGACATCCTGGGACGCTCGCTGGGGCGGGAGGGGGTGATACCCTTAAGCTTCTCCTTGCACTGGCCGCAACGGGGCACAGTCTTGTTCTTCTTCACATACTGGTACACCAGACGGCCTCCGGGGGTACGAACACTAAAAAGCGGGGTAATATGTATTACTCAGTTCGATATCTTAACAAAGGGAAATAGTTACATGCGCCGCTTGTTGGAGCGTGTGTTGTAGGACAGGCGTCTCCTGAGCGTCAGACGTTGAACCATTTTGCTGTTGTTGCTGCTGGTCGGTGCAATGCGGTGAAGATATATGCAAAAGCAAGGAGAATCATTGTTAGTTTGGAGTTCCACTACGGGGGGCGCATTTTTATCCGCATTTGGTGGGTTATTTTCATTAGTTTATCGCAATTTGCGGCTAATTTCTGTGAAATTGTAAATTGAACACGTGCATACCTCTAAAGAGACGAAACTAGAAAGAAAGGTGGTAGCCCTGGAGCTGTGCGGCGTGAACTTGGCTGCGCTGCTGCTGTTGGGTGTTTTCCAGTACTAATCGCCTTGCCAGATTGGTTGTATTTAGGGGCGATATTTGAATTAAAAAAGTTATATTTCTTATAAATATCCATTCATTTATGATTTAATTATTTTATATTTAAATACTAAATCAGTATATTTCGAAGGCCCAAGGGCAATCAATACTCGTTTGATTAACATTTTTGTTGTTGATCTGGTCCCTTATTGGCCTCTGTTACTACGTCCCTGGGAAAACCTGTTGTTGGTTTGTTTGTGGGGTGCAAATTGTTATCAAACCGCAAACAGATAACATTTAATTTTAGCAATATGAGCAAAGCAAGCAATAGTAAGTGTTTCTCGAAGTTTAGAGGACTTACAATATAATACTCCTGATCTTATAGTCATGCGTTTGGTGCTGTTGCAGTTGAAGGGTTCCAAAGACAAAGTGGCCAATGTCCAAAACGCCGCAAGCAAAATTGAGGCGGCGGTCAAGGAGCACAAACCTCGATTGATTACTTTGCCGGAGTGCTTTAATGCTCCCTACGGAACAAAGTACTTCCGGGAGTATTCCGAGACCATCCCCGATGGCTACACTTCCCAGCAGCTCTCCAGTTTGGCCAAGAAGCACCAGGTCTTTATAGTGGGAGGAACCATTCCGGAACTGGGTGAAAACGACGCCATCTATAACACCTGTACGGTGTGGTCACCCTCTGGGGATCTGGTGGCCAAGCATCGCAAGATGCATCTTTTCGATATTGATGTAAAGGGTGGCATTCGCTTCAAGGAATCGGAAACCCTTTCCGCTGGCAATGACTTCACCACTATCGATGTAGATGGTCACAAGATTGGCATCGGCATTTGTTACGACATCCGTTTCGAGGAGATGGCCAGGCTGTACAGGAATGCCGGCTGCGAGATGATCATATATCCTGCTGCGTTCAACATGACCACGGGTCCTCTTCATTGGGAACTCCTTCAGCGAGCCCGTGCTAATGATAATCAGCTATTTGTGGTTACAACTTCGCCAGCAAGAGATTCAAGTGCTGAATATGTGGCTTATGGTCATTCCATGGTGGTGGATCCTTGGGCAAAAGTGCAGCAGAGTGCCAAGGAAGGCGAGGAAACCGTGGTGGCTGATATTGACTTCTCCCTGGTGGAGCAAGTGCGCCAGCAGATTCCAGTCTTCGGCCAACGACGCCTGGATCTGTATGCCACCGAAAAGAAGTCCAAGTAAAGCTTTAAACGTAAACAACGACTGTACAACGCTTTCAATTTGTTGTACTGAAAGAATCTTTCTGTTTAAAACATGAAAAGTAATCCTTGTAGAGAATTTAAACATTGCATTTATATTTGTTGATTGTATATAAAATTTATTAGACCTAAACACATGTCACACTGATTTCTTACGATTAACGAATTATTGCTGTTTATCTGGTTGTGGACTATCCGAAGAAGCCACCTCCGCGGCAGGTGATTGCACGTAGTGGGGCCGCTGGGCTTGGTCGAAGAGCGCTCGTATGGCTTCATCGGTGGCCATTAAGGGCTGACTGATGAATTCCAGTGCCTAAATAAAGAGGCAAATATTAGATAATCAATTGGGAAATTTCTTAAAATAACTATTTCAGGCAGAACCCGCTTTAAAGCGAATGTGAATTTTATTTTTTCTGATACTCACCCTGACTGCATACTTTTCCGCTTCGCAAAGTGGACTTGTACTGGCGCTGGACAACTTGAGAGACTCTTCGGGTATGCCCACTCCCGAATGCAAGACCATCCGCTGTAAGATATTCAGATTTTCGGCACTTAGGCTGATCACATCGGTGGCGGGTAGGTTCAGGAAGCGAATCTTGGCTAGGAACTTGAGTTGCTTGAGCATGTCCAGTTGGATTTCGCGAATCTGGTGAGTGGCGTGCAGCAGCTGCTTTGTGGATTCGTTCAGTAATTGATTCTTCTGGGTGAGATCGGCTTTCCAACGGGCTAGTTCCTCAACCATAACACTGCTGGCGAGAAACTTGGATCGCCACACCTCACATTGCCCGGCTAGAAACTCAATCTGCTCGGTGTGGGTGGTGAGATTGTTCGCGGTATCCAGAAGAGCTCTGGCCAGCTGTAACTTATCCTCGGTAAGGAGATTGACCCGTGTCTGCAGATCCTCGCCTACCGAGGCCACTAGCAAGCTCTTCAATTCGCTGTTCACCTGCGTCTGGAATTTGTACTGCGCTTGAAAGTAGTTTCTCTCCTCTCGCATCTTGGCCAGCTCATTCTGAAGTGAAGCCACCTCCTGGCTACTAGCTTGGCTGTTTTCCTTGATATCCTTAGGTTCCGGATCAAGCTCTTGAGTACGAAGCGTTGACACCTGGTCCGCCAGCACTGCAATGTCCAAATTATTCTTGTCCCTGTGGATTTTGTGTTTGTTCGTTGGCTCAGAGATCATGGGATTGACGGCACCTGGATATGGTTCAAAAGGCACAAACTTGGGGGCCTTTGTCTTCTTGTGTTCCGGCAGGGTTTCCTGGTTCGACACCAGTCTGGGTCGCATTTGGACTAGTTCTCCCTTAGGAATGACGGGTGCCAAACTACGGGTAACAATCTCCGGGCGTCTGTAAAGTGTGTGTAGTCCGGGAAGGGGCAAATTGGAGGCGTGTCCACTGCTCGTGGAAGTCCTCCTACCCATGACAGCCTCCTGCACGATTGTGCTATCTTTTCGGGATAAGTGGGGCCTCTTGACTTTTGTGTCCACATCAGCACTCAATTGGATTTCACTTTCGGTTTTGGCCGCACCACTGTTTTCTGGTTGCTCCATGCCATCACCACTGGTGCGACAATCCGGAGATTTGACCACACTTGGCGCTGTTCCATCAGCTTCCATTTCTTGACAGTCTTGGCCAAGCCAAACTAATTTTACTAAATTAAAGAATTTCTCTGGCTGTGCCAGCAAAACAAAAACAATCGCTGAGGACTGCCAACTCGCTGCAAAGTTCTGACTTTTAGCAGTGTTGAGCAAAACCTATTTCTGCTTTGGTACATTATATTTTGAATATTGGAGGTGTGGCCAGAGCGGGCAACGTTCAAAACGCTTACTTGACTACCATTTAACAAGGTTTCTTAGGCCACCCCCGCGTGCGTGCACACCATTTGATAAAGTCTATTGATTGACCGAAAAAAGCAAATAAATAATACGAGCGGCTTTGGAAGAAGGTTTACCAGGTACCGGCGATACGAAAAGTACGCTGCCGCCGCCCCTCACCGCCACCCCCTGGCCACGCCCTTCCAACGAGTGCCGAAGGATGACCGCTGTGGAGGCTGATGTGCTGCAGAAAATCGATCTGATTGAGCCCACGACCGGAAAATTGTTTTTCGAGCACAAAACTGAATTGGTCTTCTGTCGACCACATTTGATGCCGCTGAAGACGCAGGCGCTGGAACGCCTGGAGGAAATGCATCGCGATACTGCTCGCCAATTGCAGAAGAAGCGTATCCAGAAGAAGTCTTCAGAGTCCACATGAATTAGTCCTGATCAAAGTCATAGTCGTCATAAGCACACACACACTAAAAAGCACAAGAACCCAGCACCCCATTTGGATTAAGATTAAAGTTTGGAAGAATGGCCTACCTGCTAAGCTTTGGCATCGTGGCCGCCCTCTTCCTGGCCAGCATCTCACTGTACCGCTATGGAAATATACCACGTCAGCACATCCTGGTCACCTTATCCGTGCTGACCGCCTGGTGCTTCTCCTTTTTGATTGTATTCACCATTCCGCTGGACGTAACATCGGTGAGTCAGGGATCCCCACTTGGGATGAAGAGCTCTTGAAGTAATTGTTCTAAAAATAAGTGCCAACAGAGGAGCTAATTAGTTTGTTCCCAAAGAATTGCGTTTTAGAATAACAACAATGCTAACAAGTGTTTTACGAAAGCCTTAAACCACTTTCTCATTCAGTTCATTCTTCCATATGGTATGCAACTATAGTATGTTTTCGTCTCTTATATGAATTCTGTTTAGATTTTCTTATAACTCATATTTCTTTTCAAACGCATTCGTTGGTGAGAACAGAAATTAATTAATTTTTTATCTAAAGCTAGCCAGACACCACCAATCAAGTTGTCAATGAAGTTCACCACTGGTTTTTGTTTGGAATTTCTTATCTTTGAATGATTCAGAAAAGCTTGGCCAACAAAAAAACCCAAAATACCCAACTGCTTTGGCACAGATTGTAAACATAAAAGTTTTATTATTTTATTTTGCCTCATTTACTTATAAATCCTGTAATCTTAGATTTTAAGTGAAAACTGAATAATAAACTAAGTTTGGATTTTCCCTACAGACACTTTACCGCCAGTGCGTGGAGGAGCACCGACCGACGCCACCACCAAATGTGACCAATACCCAAGCCGCCATTAACGCAACTCCGCCGCCTCAATGCCAGGAGCCGTGGGGCATGGTTCCCGCCTCCGTGTTTCCGAACCTGTGGCGCATTATCTACTGGAGCTCGCAGTTCCTTACCTGGTTGATTATGCCGCTGATGCAGTCGTACCTCAAAGCAGGCGACTTCACCGTGAAGGGCAAGCTGAAGTCCGCTCTGATCGAGAATGCAATCTACTACGGATCCTACCTGTTTATCTGCGGCGTTCTTCTCATCTACATAGCTGTGAAAGGCGAATCGCTGGATTGGCAAAAGCTAAAGGCAATCGCCTCATCGGCTTCAAACACCTGGGGTCTGTTTCTACTCATCCTACTTCTGGGTTACGCTCTGGTGGAAGTTCCTCGATCTCTGTGGAACAATGCCAAGCCGGGATTCGCGCTGCAGTACGCCCACTTTAAGGCGGCCAAGCTGAGCACTGAGAAGGCAGAGGCCGAGGAGCATGTGGATGACATTCTGGAGTCGCTGCAAGGTCTCAGTCGAGTTATACCGAACAACCACGATCTGCGTCCCTGTTTGGAGACCATCCTGCGTAAGGTTCCCATTGAACTGCAGGAACGGGCAAGCCGAAATTTCGCCCGCACTGGTGGCAGCGGCATGGGAGCCACCAGCTCTACAATCTTGCCATCGGAAAAGGCGCTGGTTCGCATTCATAAGCAAGTAATCAAATCCCTTCAGACGCTACAGCGCACCGAGGCTTTGTGGAGTGTGCAGGTGCAAACTGTGCTGCATCTGGAGGATGTGGCCAATAATATTCACTCCTCGGATCGGCGCTTCAAGACGGAGTTTCCACGCCAGCGAACGCAGCTGGAGAGGATCTGCTACAGCGCCACGGTGCAGTGGTATTGGGAATGCCTTCTGAAGGCACCGTTCCTCAAGACCATGTGCGTCCTTACCGCCACCATGTCGGCGATGGTGGTGTGGAGCGAATTAACCTTCTTCAGCCGCCGCCCTGTTCTTTCCATTTTTGCCAACGTGATTTACGTGGCCAAGGAGAGCTACGACTTCTTCACCATCGAGGTGTTTTCCATGGTGGTTCTCTGCTACTTCTTCTATTGCACCTACTCTACTATTTTGAGGATAAGATTCCTGAATCTGTATTATCTGGCACCGCATCACCAGACCAACGAGCACAGTCTGATCTTCAGCGGCATGCTACTCTGCCGCCTGACGCCACCCATGTGCCTCAACTTTCTGGGTCTTATCCATATGGACACACATATTATACCCAATGTAAGTATTGAACTCTTATTGTTAATTAACTTTTAACTTATGTCCCCTTTAATCGCCAGCGTATTATGGAGACGGTCTACACCCAGATCATGGGCCACATGGACGTGATTGGCATTATCTCAAATGGCTTCAATATCTACTTCCCCATGTGCATGCTGGCCTTCTGCCTGGCCACATGGTTTAGCTTGGGCAGCCGGGCCTTGAACGCCCTCGGCTTTCAGCAGTTCCTGCAAAACGAAACTATTGCCACGGAGCTGGTGCAGGAGGGAAAGGATCTGATAGCGCGCGAGAAGCGACGACGCCAGCGAGCCGAGGAGGCTATGGCCAGGAGGCGCGACCTCAACCGAACCGACCAGGTTCTGGGCAGCGATTACTTAAGCAAGTACCGGAGTGGAGGAGCAGGATCTCTCGCCAGTAGTCGCACCCCCGCGGATGGACTACTCCGTGATGGGGATGGCAGCTTTGACTATGCGGCGGTGGCTTCCTCCTCGGCACTTGGCGTTCCACGATCTCTGTCGGAGGAGATCAACGAACGGTTCGGAGTGAGCACCCAAGTGCAGGTGGGATTCCGGGACCCGGACTACGAGACGGAGCAGGATGGCCGCATCGTGGGCCCGCCACCGCGAGGACTCTTCGACGATGTCTAGACTCGAAAAATTGATGATTCTTTATTTCGAACCGCAACCGAATATCTCAATGTTTGCAATATTCCGTAGTTTGTATTTCGTTCGCGCTTAAGTATTTCCTGCTGCCACTGCTGCTGCTGTTCCTTCACACCTATGTTCACCATTCGATTGAATAAACCACTAGAAAGGATCTTCGTGCGCCTTGCGTCGGGAATAGCGTTTCTTCTTTCCAAATTCTTGGTTGACGTCGATGCCACTGTTGTCTGTTACTTGGGATTCCGATGCCGTCGAGATCTCTGAAGTCGTTGAGTTGCCGACGTCTCCTGACTCAACGTCGGATGCCTCCACATAGCTTTCATTCTTGGTCGGATCACGTAACTCGGATATGGGATGTGGATATATGCGCTTGCGGCCACGCAAGTAAGCACAGCGCGCGGTTAACGGAGTGTTGGGCGAACGCATCATTACTATTTTAGCTGAAAACTGAAATGACATTTTAAAATGCTAATAGTAAACCTGGCATGAAAAGGATTGCCGACTTGACGAATTTAAGTTTATAGTTGATTTATTTTTATTTCTGATTGCAAGGGTTTGTGTGCATATAATTGTCATTTTATGGGTTTATCACAAATGCAAATGCAGCAAGAGAAACAAGGTAAAATCTCGAAAAAATCCTTGTTGGATTTATGTACAATTGAATTAAGGGTTCTAAGCGAAGGAAAATAATTGCCATCGAATGAATAGGTAGTCCGCTAGCATTGTTTTGTTGCTGGTTTGGTTGGCTGGTTTACGTGTTAGCTGTAGTTTTTAGATCCCCTGTTAAAAGAAACTCCTTATTCATCGCCGCCGCCCTCTTCATCCTCATCGAATTCGCCTTCCTCGTCGGCGGTGGCCTCCTGGTACTGCTGGTACTCTGAGACCAAATCGTTCATGTTGCTCTCCGCCTCTGTGAATTCCATTTCGTCCATTCCCTCGCCGGTATACCAATGCAGGAAAGCCTTTCGCCTGAACATGGCCGTGAACTGCTCCGAAACACGTTTGAAAAGTTCCTGAATCGCGGTGGAGTTTCCGATGAAAGTGGCCGACATCTTTAGACCTCGGGGTGGGATATCGCACACCGCCGTCTTGCAGTTGTTCGGGATCCACTCGACGAAGAAGCTGCTGTTCTTGTTCTGGATGTTCAGCATCTGTTCGTCCACCTCCTTCATGGACATGCGACCTCGGAAAATGGCGGCGACCGTCAGGTAGCGACCATGTCGCGGGTCGCAGGCAGCCATCATGTTCTTGGCATCGAACATCTGCTGGGTCAATTCGGGAACGGTAAGAGCCCGATATTGCTGCGATCCTCGGGAGGTAAGGGGAGCAAAGCCTGGCATGAAGAAGTGCAGTCGGGGGAAGGGCACCATGTTCACCGCCAGCTTTCGCAGATCGGCGTTGAGCTGGCCAGGGAATCGCAGGCAGGTGGTCACCCCGGACATTGTGGCCGAAACCAAATGGTTCAGGTCACCATACGTGGGCGTGGTCAGCTTAAGAGTGCGGAAGCAGATGTCGTACAACGCCTCGTTATCAATGCAGTACGTCTCATCGGTGTTCTCCACCAACTGGTGCACACTTAGGGTGGCGTTGTAGGGCTCCACCACTGTATCGGACACCTTGGGCGAGGGCACCACCGAGAAGGTGTTCATGATGCGGTCGGGATACTCCTCTCGGATCTTGGAGATCAGCAGGGTTCCCATTCCGGAGCCGGTGCCACCACCCAGCGAGTGGGTCAGCTGGAAGCCCTGTGGGAAACAATTAATTGCAACCCTTGCAAGCGTAAATCCAACCTTTAACTCGCACTTGCCTGCAGACAATCGCATCCCTCCGACTCCTTTCGCACCACATCCAAAACAGAGTCCACCAGTTCAGCTCCTTCCGTATAATGACCCTTGGCCCAGTTGTTTCCGGCTCCAGATTGGCCAAACACAAAGTTGTCCGGTCGGAAGATCTGTCCAAAGGCTCCAGACCTCACTGAATCCATGGTGCCGGGTTCCAGGTCCACCAGAATGGCCCTCGGAACGTACTTCGCACCCGTTGCCTCATTGTAGTAGACATTGATGCGCTCCAGCTGCAGATCACTGTCCCCGTAATACGTTCCTGTCGCGTCTATGCAGTGCTCATCTGAGATTACCTCCCAGAATTTTCCGCCGATCTGGTTGCCGCATTGTCCGGCTTGAATGTGCACTATTTCACGCATTTTCGCGGTTCGTCAAGGATCGAAGCTTAAAATTCCAATCGTTAAAAAATATCTCACAAAAAGTTGTATTAAAAAACCGATTTGGAAACGCAGTTTTAGGGGGTGAAAAACCGGCGAAAAACTGATTAGTTAACGTATAATTTTTTCAGGTTTATATTTTAGACGTGTACTTGCTAGCTGATATTGAGGTGGACTGATCCTGAGCTGAAACAGCTTCACGAAGGTTCTCAGCCAGACTACTGTGATTCGTAGTTTTCCACTATCTTGTTTTCCCCCAAATCACAAGCCTGTTTGATCGAGGGTTTTGAGCAATAACTTTAATATTAGGTGAAACAGTATACAGCTAAAAGTTAAGATGGGATGGATGAGGCGGTGCTTTAGAACCAAAAGAGGTTTCAACGACTACCAGCCAGGTGATACGATTGATATTGACATGGGTTTTTTGGAGGTTTCTCCTTTGTAAATGTGTATATGGTTGTATATTCAGACAGGTCGATTATTGTGGTTGCAGAAAAATTATAAATACACAAAGCCTCTGAAGAAGAAAGTTTAGAAATGTCGGACTTGTATTGAGTATCATCTTAACATTTTTGATTTTTAGATCCAATTTCGTAAATTGGATAATATGGTATTTGGAATATTCTGCACAAATAATCGACCCATCCTTGTGTAAATTTCTACGTAGGGAAGGTTCGTCTAACAACCACAATTTTGAGTTCACGGCGGTTGGGTCTCTACAGGATTGTAACTATATTTTGGCGATCCATTGGCTCTGGCTCCTACAAGGAGGTGTTCCACAGCTGCTTGTACGGATATCAGACAGAGGCCCGCTTCAGGCACAAAGTGCTCTCGATTATATCCGTGGGCTGGAAGTCCGGATCGACAAACTGCTCGTGGTTGAGGCACCTAGTGCCACCCATGCATGTACAGGAACAAAGCGAAGCGGTCTCATCGTTTTCAGTTGTGTAGTTATTCTCCAGAAGTTTGCCATGCATGTTATAAGTGGACTCATCATCGAAAGTCACCGGTTGTGCATTTCCGGCCAGATTCTGGGCATCCTGCTCATCCCTCTTGGCATCCTCCGCTTGCCTGTGGTTTACAACACATGAATTTAAAATCTTTTATAAAAGATTGTTACTTACATTGTCATGAAGCGCAGCACCAACAGATTAATACTGGCGGCCACAACGGCCAAGCCGAACAGGATAAATACCAAGCTTAGTGCCACATAACCAGGTTTATTGGTCAAAGCCTGATCATTTTGCAATGCCACATAGTCCCCAAAACCAATTGTGGTTAAGGTGACAAAGCAGTAGTAGAAGCTATCAAAGTAGCTCCATCCCTCGTATCGAGAGAACACTGCTGCTCCTGTGGTGATTATTATGGAGGATAGCATTCCGGTGGCCAACATTAGATTCATCTCAGTGGCATCCGTACATCGGGCTCCACTGGCCCTTTTGGCTCTTCTTATGATAACAGATGCAAATTTGTTGAGACGTTCACCGATCGACTGAAACATCACAAGACCGAGGGGGATTCCGACCTAAAGAAACAGATTTTTATGAGCTAAGAAACCATTACTTTTTTTTTCCAAACCCTACCATAGCATATCCCATGCAAAATGCTTTTCCTGGAATGGTAACTGGAGTGGAGTGGCCATATCCTACATAACATATTAAATTATATCAGAATTGGAAAACGTACGGTATTATGGCAAACAAATAGTTATTAATTTAATTTAATTACCTATCATAGCCAAAACCACTGTGCTAAAATAAAAAGCTCCAGCGAATTTCCACTGCGGTCCTGCCTTATGGGGCTTATTTTCAATAATAACAATTTCCATCACTCGGAAGTCCTCGTCGGTAACATTGTACTTCTTAACAAAGTTGTTCTTAACGGCTGTAATCAACAAATAATGATGTAGACACAAAGTAAGGCTTTATAAAGGATGTTACCTTGCAAAAACTCCCATCGTTTGGCCTCCGTTGGAGATTCTAGAGAATCAAAAACCGCGGCTCCAATTAAAAGATATGTAAATGTGCATACCACAAGTGAAAGAGTTCGAACGTTCTGACGCTTCATTCTGCATATAGGTTATTACAATAAAATCCAATCGAATAGCTTTTCCGGACTTGATCGGCGCCCTTTTTGTTTAATTAATGATGCTGCGACTGACAAAATCGATAAGCGTCAACAAAACAAACATACAGCATCCACAATCATTTAAGAATCTGGTTAAATAAAAGGCACAATTAAAAGTGGTTTGATAAAGTTTATAAACAGTACAGTTTTAAACCATCTTTGCAGTGTTTTATCAACTGCCAAAAGTTAAAGGTTGTTTTGAATATTAATCAGACAATTATATTACCGTTAATGCAGCACAACAGAAGCAACACAGGTTGATGGTGTTGCCACATGGTTAATACAAAGCTGCAATCATGGTATTTCACGCTTTTATTGTTTGTTTGGTTTAATAAAGCAACTTTAACAAATCTAGTTAGTTATATATATTATCACTGTTAACAATAATTTGTATTATTAATTTTTTTTATAGCACCGCTATCAACATTCAAAAGCCAGCTAGGTTGGCAGCGCCGATAAATCAGAAAAAAATCGGTGTAAGGGCGAAGGAAAAGCAAGAATGCTCGATAGTGCCACCGCTAATTTGTTTATGCGAAAAAAACCACGCAAGTCCAAAGCGATTGGATTTGTTGCAGTAGGCTGTCTGTGCGTGACGTCGGCCTTTCCGTGATTAATTAACCGGAAAATGTTGCGCATACGTCGACGCTTTGCCTTGGTGATATGCTCCGCCTGCCTACTGGTTTTTCTCAGCCTGTACGTGATTCTAAACTTTGCGGCGCCGGCAGCAAATCAGAAAAAGGTAAATAAACGCCAGGGGACTCAAACAAAATGATAAGAAAACTCCCCCTGATTTTGCAGCCTAACTATGTGGCCATCGAGGACAAACTTCAGAAGCTGGAAAATGGCCTGCAGGAGCACGGCGAGGAGATGAGAAGCCTGCGGGCTCGTCTGGCTAAAACAGCGAACAGGGAGGAGCCAATAAGGGCTCCACTGAAGAGTCCTCGATCACCAAAGACAGGAGAATGTCAGGATGTGGTCCAGGATGTACCGAATGTGGAGGTACAAATGCTGGAGCTCTACGATCGCATGTCATTTAAGGACATCGATGGCGGTGTATGGAAACAGGGCTGGAACATCAAGTACGACCCTCTAAAGTACAACGCCCATCACAAACTCAAAGTCTTTGTGGTGCCGCACTCCCACAACGACCCTGGATGGATCCAGACATTCGAGGACTACTACCAGCACGACACAAAGCATATCCTATCCAATGCTTTAAGGCATCTTCACGAGAATCCTGAGATGAAGTTCATCTGGGCAGAGACGTCGTACTTTGCAAGATTCTACCACGATTTGGGAGAAAACAAGAAGCTGCAGATGAAGTCGTAAGTAACGTTTCACATAAAATAACTTTAATTGCGTGAAGCCGTTCAACTTTAAACAGCTGCCATTGGCAACAAAGTTGAACTGAATATAATGCGACTGCACGCTTTGTCGTTGTTAAGTTAAACAGAAGCTTATTTGTGAACAGATAAGCACTCATGCCTATATGGAAAGGTGTCGCTGTAAAATGCTTTATTGGCACTGATAATAAAGCCGGTTCTGATTTTTTACTATTGGAAATCCCGTGCATTAATAATTATTACTTTCAAAACACAAGATAAATCAATTATTTAATTATTTATTTTTCCAGCATTGTAAAAAGTGGGCAGCTGGAGTTTGTGACTGGAGGATGGGTGATGCCAGACGAGGCCAACTCCCACTGGCGGAATGTGCTGCTGCAGCTGACCGAGGGCCAGACCTGGCTGAAGCAGTACCTAAATGTGACTCCCACTGCCTCCTGGGCCATAGATCCCTTTGGCCACAGTCCCACGATGCCGTACATCCTGCAGAAGAGCGGCTTCAAGAACATGCTTATCCAGCGAACTCACTACTCAGTGAAGAAAGAGTTGGCTCAACAGCGGCAGCTGGAGTTCCATTGGCGACAGATTTGGGACACCAAAGGTGACACGGCCCTCTTCACCCACATGATGCCCTTCTACTCGTACGATATTCCACACACTTGCGGTCCGGATCCCAAGGTGTGCTGCCAGTTTGATTTCAAGCGAATGGGCGCATTTGGATTAAGTTGCCCATGGAAGATACCACCCCGAGCTATTGTAGATGGAAATGTGGCAATACGCTCGGATATGCTGGTTGATCAGTGGAAGAAAAAGGCCGAGCTGTATCGTACAAACGTATTGCTGATTCCCCTAGGCGACGACTTCCGCTTCAAGCAGAACACCGAGTGGGATGTGCAGCGGGTTAATTACGAGAAACTCTTTGAGCACATCAACAGCCAGGCGCACTTCAATGTGCAGGCACAGTTCGGCACACTCCATGAGTACTTTAATGCAGTGCATCAGGCGGAAGAGGCGGGTCAGGTTGAGTTTCCCACGCTGAGTGGCGACTTTTTCACATACGCCGATCGTTCGGACAACTACTGGAGTGGCTACTACACATCTCGTCCGTATCACAAGCGCATGGACCGTGTGCTGATGCACTACGTTCGCTCTGCAGAAATGCTATCCGCTTGGCACTCTTGGGACGGAATGGCGCGCATCGAGGAGCGTCTAGAGCAGGCTCGTCGGGAACTGTCGCTGTTCCAGCATCACGATGGCATCACTGGCACTGCCAAAACGCACGTTGTACAGGACTACGAGCAACGCATGCAGGAGGCTCTAAAGGCTTGTCAACTGGTGATGCAACAGTCGGTCTATCGCCTGCTCACCAAGCCCTCAATCTACAGTCCGGACTTTAGCTTTTCGTACTTTACGCTTGACGACTCACGCTGGCCGGGATCGGGCGTGGAAGATAGCCGCACCACTATTATATTGGGCGAGGATATACTGCCCACCAAGCATGTGGTGATGCACAATACGCTGCCCCACTGGCGAGAGCAGTTGGTGGACTTCTATGTGTCCAGTCCATTCGTGAGTGTCAGCGATCTGGCAAACAACCCAGTGGAGGCTCAGGTGTCACCTGTATGGAGCTGGCATCACGACACTCTGACGAAGACCATCCACCCACAAGGCTCCACAACCAAGTACCGCATCATCTTCAAGGCACGAGTACCGCCTATGGGATTGGCCACTTACCTTCTGACCATTTCCGAGTCCAAACCAGAGTGAGTATCAGTAAACATTTTTCTTGTGTTTATTCACTCTACTCCTCTCGGAGAAGAGGTAACCGTTACGTTGAACATTACTTTTAACTTAAATACTTCACCGAAATAATTGATTGACGAATAAAACCAGTTTGTATATAAGATTCTACTATAAGATTCTAGATTGTCGTATCATCAATATCTTTTAACTAACGTTTTCATCTTATTTACAGACACACCTCGTACGCCTCGAATCTTTTGCTGAGAACAAATCCAGTCTCCGTGCCCTTGGGTCAGTACCCAGAGGATGTGAAGTTTGGGGAACCTCGCGAAATTTCATTGCGAGTTGGTAATGGTCCTACGCTTGCATTTTCGGAGCAGGGTCTGCTAAAGTCAATCCAGCTCACCCAGGATAGTCCGCATGTGCCGGTGCATCTAAAGTTCCTCAAATACGGCACTCGAACGCATGGAGATCGTTCCGGAGCATATCTGTTCCTGCCCAACGGGCCTGCTTCGCCCATCCAGCTTACCAAACCAGTGGTGCTGGTGACCAAGGGCAAATTGGAATCCTCGGTGAGCGTGGGCCTGCCAAATGTGGTGCACCAAACCATAATGCGTGGCGGAGCACCTGAGATTCGCAACCTAGTTGACATCGGCGTGCTGGACAACACTGAGATTGTGATGCGATTGGAGTCACATATCGACAGTGGCGACATCTTCTACACCGATCTCAATGGACTGCAGTTCATCAAGCGCCGGAGACTGGACAAATTACCCTTGCAAGCCAACTATTACCCAGTTCCATCTGGCATGTTTATCGAGGATGCCAATATGCGACTTAGTCTGCTTACGGGTCAACCCCTGGGTGGATCTTCCCTGTCTTCCGGTGAACTGGAGATCATGCAGGACCGTCGCCTGGCTAGCGACGATGAACGTGGACTGGGACAAGGTGTCTTGGACAACAAGCCGGTGCTGCACATCTATCGCCTGGTGCTGGAGAAGATTAACAACTGTGCCCGTCCATCAGAGGTGCACCCCGCTGGTTATTTCACCAGTGCTGCCCACAAGGCCTCCCAATCCCTGCTGGATCCGCTGGATAAGTTTATATTCGCTGAAAATGAGTGGATTGGGGCACAGGGGCATTTTGGCGGAGATCACCCATCAGCCCGCGAGGATCTGGATGTTCCTGTGATGCGACGTTTGACTAAGAGCTCGGCTAAAACACAGCGTGTTGGCTATGTTGTGCATCGCACCAATCTCATGCAGTGCGGCTCCCCAGAGGAGCGGGCACAGAAGGTGGGTCTTTTAAAAAATTACTTTTAAATTCGTACTTAGAATACAAAATATCAAACTATTGCTTTTCCTACTTTTGTACTATATGGAAACTTACGAATACTAATAACTCTTCTGCTTTTATCCCATAGCTGGATGTGTGCCAACTACTGCCAAATGTGGCGCGATGTGAACGAACGACGCTCACCTTCCTACAGAACCTGGAGCACTTGGATTCCATGGTGGCGCCGGAGGTGTGCCCCATGGAAACTGCGGCCTATGTGAGCAGCCACACAAGCTGATCGCCACGGGTCCTTCAAAAGGATGCCAGCGCAAAGGAGCAGCGGCAAAATGACAACTTATGAATCTCGGACGCTAACTCACTGCAGTACAGGCAACCTTCGTTTAATGATCAATTCAAAAGCACTGACTGCACCAGAACACGATGCGTAATGCATACTACGTAATTTTATTTATTCAAGCTTCCTCAAGTGGGTTTGGAAATTCAATCCTATGACGCAGCGGTGTGTTTTTTGCACCCCCTTGTTACTACACATTTTACTTTGTTTCCCCTAGTTTTTTACGTTTTTGTGATATCCCTTCAGTCCCACAGCAAGCAATACATGTCTGTCTTCTATATCCCAAAGGGGATATTGCCTAAAAACCACGAATCGTAACTACATATATCTAACGTTTTACTGTAATGTAAGCTTAGTGATAATGATGCAATGGCAATGATATTAATCTCGACGTTTGTTTTGTATCGAACCGAATAAATTGAGTCTCATTTTAGAATCGACTTTGAAGTGCTATTCTAAACACAAAAAACACAAGTATATTTTATTTTATTAAGGGATCGATGTTACAGTTTTTAAAAATAGTATAGCAGCCTGTTGATCCTTGATTGATCAGTTTAATATCACGTTTTGAATAATTTGCTGTAGTCCTATGATGACTTTGGATTACGAAACTGATTTATATTTAGTGCAGGATTTTTATGAGTTATAGTTTTTGTGGTTGAAAAACAAAGTGCAATCTTATCAGTTCCAGCGCGGTACTGTTATTGCCAGAATGACCTACAGAGATACTGAGAGAGGAGAGGGCGCCAGTTGGAAAATGCACAATGGAAATCCAGACTGAATCCAAATTGAGCGTAAAGTGGTTGTGGAGCATTGGAGCGCGAGAGAGCCTCTGCGCAGTTCCCGCTCTCTCTCTCTCTCTCTCAACCGAAACCAAATTGTATTTGTGAGAGACTCGCGCCCTCTCTGGCGCTCTCTATAACGACCATCGGAATTTTCTGTACAGAAGCAGAAATCTCAGCCAGCTCGCTGTTTTCAAGTTTCGAGTCCGCATTTCAGTTGAGTTGGATTCAGTCACAGTCACAGAGTCAGAGCGTCAGATTCAGATTCAGATCATCGTGGTCGCCAGTGAGTTTGTTTATATGTTTGTTGCTGCCTGTGTGTTTGCTTGTCAAGAAGCTCTGCAGCAAAAACAAGGCACCTAAACAAAAGTGGTTCAAAACAATTAAGAAAATCAAAAGCCAACCGAAAAAATAGAAACAGTGCAGTGTAACTGCTGCTCTTGTTGTTGTTGTTCTTGTCTAAAGCGGACTGGAATTTAATTAAATTAAATTAAATCGAGAACGAATGTGTGTGTGTGAGTTTGTGCCTAAGCTGCGTTCTTGAGTTGTTCTTTTTCTAAGTTCATTTTTCGTGGCGAGTATCTGTGTGCGCGTGTTCGTGTGCTGGTATGCGTGTGCTTTTTGTGAACTACGTTTTGTTTCAATGCCAAAAAGTATCTATGCCCTGGCATGTGCTCTCCCTCTGTCTCTCTCTCGCTCGGTCGTTCATGCTGGTTACATAAATACTGGTAGAAGAAGCAAAGGAGGCAGCGGAGCAGCAGAAACTGAGATACAAATTCAATTAACACCTGAAAACGAAAAGCCAACTGGAACACGTCTAATTGGAAGGAGGAAAACGGACAAACATGTGTTTGATTTTCTAAGTTTTTGTTAATTCCACTTGAAATCCTTTTTATAAATGCTAGAGCATGGCTCCTTAAAAGAGGCCAAAAGAAATGTGAAAAAGGCTAAGGAGAACCAGAACGAGAACACAAAAAACGAAATTAACGACGTCACATAAAAGTGTGTCAAAGCAGCAGCTCACGCACACTAGCTCGCTCCAAATTTGTATCTGTGTGAAGCTTTGGCTCTCTCCCTCTCCCTGTCTCTCTCTTTCGCTAATAAACGCAACGCACACAGCGCGTATACATAATTTATATATTTATTTAAATGTTTTTCGTTTGCGTGGTTTGAACAACGAGTTTTTCTCGTTATTCTAAGGCAGTCCCCCATTTGTTTCTCTCCAACTCTCGTTTTTTACTCTTTTCAAACATATGGCATTGCTCAATTATTATGTCATAAACATTTTGAATGGCAAATATGCGATAGAAGTTCAATTCGTTCAAGGCAATATTATTTTCAAGCTTTTTTGTTTGCTTTTGGCGCAGGAAATGCAAAAGTTTTCGTCGCTTTAGCAGTGTGTGTCTGTGTGCAGGAACGTGCAGCAATTTTCCAACGTTTGCATGAAAAACCTAGTGCCCTAATAAGCTAAGCGAGAGAGAAAAGCCCAGCGGGCGAGAGAAACAAGAGAGCTGGAGAGCAGTTTTCCCGCACTCGAATTTAAAAATCAATGTAGAAAATGCGCGCAAAGCGGACAAAGAAAACACGCACGAACATACACACAGATACTCCGAACTGTTAGATAGAAATGTGATCGGACGGGCACGTGTACGTGGCACACAGATACAAAAGAGCGAGAGAGGGCGAGATAACCACTGAGTGGAAAAATCGGGGAAAAGAGCTTCGGAGAGCTTCGCTTCCATTCGCTCGCTCAGCTGCTCAAAGCAAACTTGGCGTTAGAATCAAAAAGACGCGCACGAAAATCGAACGGAAAAACGGAAAAAGGCAAGGCGGATGAAGCAGCGCGAAGGAGAGGCGTAATCAAACGCTAAAATATATTTTAAAATTTATAAAACACTGCGCTAGGCTTCGGAATTCGCGAATAAATTATCTAATCGGAGTGTGATTGTGTGTGTTTGTTTCCAAGAAAAAAACCCAAGCAACAACAACAACAAAGCAGCAGAACAAAAAACCCAAAAAGTAAAAACCCATTATAAAAATCGCCTAATCAAATGCAGGATCCACTACAACAACAACAAAAACAACTGTCGCGTCTCCAAATGAAACAATAATTGAATAATTGAATTAACCAATAACGAAAAAGAAATATAAGCAAAGCGAATAACGAGTAAAAAGTTGAATCGTACTAAGTAAGCCAGTCGAGGAGATATATATCCGCAAATCAGCGTTTAAAGTACCATATATAGTTGTTCTTATCTATACCCACACTCAATTAATTGCAGCTGAATGCACGACTCCTTGCAAAAAGGTGAATATATTTCAAACTAGTCATAAGATCTCGGTTTAAGCATAGTTTAGCATAAGATAGGGTCTGCCAAGGGTTCAAGATGTAAAGTCTAGAGCTCCGTTAAAATAAACAGCCAACATTTCTAAATGTCGAACTTCTATGGTCAAAAAGCTAAAAAGTTACAAACTAAAACAAAAAAATATTTCAACTTATTATTTAGGAAAATATGTTTATTTTCTCAGCTATAAATTCATTGTTTCGGTTGAACCGCCGATCAATTTCTTTATAACCATAAACTTAACTCTATTTTGTTATGCAAAATTTGAATTCTACGATTTAGAGTTATAGAAGTTCGACTGTAAAGTTTGCCCGTTTTGCGCAAGCAAATGAAATGGCTTTCGAGCATATTTACGAGTGTGGGGATGCCTATATTCATACATGGTATGAATATGTACTACTGATTGCCCGATCTCTCTCTCTTTTCCTTCTATATCTCTCGTTCGTTCTCTCCATCTGGCATGCTAATCAAAGTCGTGGCTCATCCCCACCTTCCACTGCATCCCCCTCCCCCCACACTCCACCCCACCATCCGCCCTTTGCGTTTATCTGCTCATCAATTTGCTCGTTTCATAGCCTAACCCGACACTTGATTCTAGTTTTTTTCCCCAGCTGCTGTTAAATGCAAATAGGCATTAAATTGTCCGCTTGTCTGTCGTTTCGTTTCATTTGCATTCACACCGCCGACCTCCCCCCCACGCCCCGTCCCGGTTCCGCCCACTTCCACGCCCCCTACAACACCGCCCCCGTTGCGCAATTCGGTGGGGCAGCTCGTATGTGGGTTAAACTGCTGCCACGGCTGCTGTTGCTGCACCACTGGCAAAGCTACAGAAAACAGAAACAGCAAAAAAAAAGGAGGTGGAAAAGGAGGTGCCAGTGCACAGAGAGAAATATTTGTGTTCCAAGTGGAACTAGTCTTTAATTAAGTACGAGAAGTAATCAACTATTTGCTTACATTTCATGTTTTTGTTATTCAATAGTTCATAGCAGTTTTCAAAAACAAGGTCAACCTGATAGTTACAATCTCATCTTCTCACTTAAGCGTAGCATAGAAACAAGGGTAGCAAGAAAGCTCTCTCAATAAAAAACAAATCTGGTTAATTAATCCCAGGCGGGATCTTCTTATATCAAGTGCCATAATGACCCCCTTTTTCTCGGTGCACATGTTGCAGTGGGGACAAAATAACTGGGAAAAATTAACCCAAAACGAAACGAGAAAAGGTTTATGTAAACAAGCACACACACACGCTGGCCTACACACACACACTGGCACACACACACTTACCCACACAGCCGCACACACAGCGCGGTGTTCATGCAAAAGGCACGAAACTGCTGTTAACCTATTTGCCGTAATGGTTACGGCGGTGATTTCGACCCGGAGACTCTCTCGGCTCGGCTAATAAGCCGAGAGTCCGAGCTCCGTTTTGGAGTCGAGTCGAGTGGAGTCGATTAAGGGCCCCCCGAACAATACTGAAGTGCAAAACTGCAAGCTTGGCGGTTAACTTAAGTGCCTGATGTTCTAGGAAATGCCAAAGCCTCCCAAATTGCCCGCACAAAATTGGTCGACGGGAATCACTCGAAGATCAGAGACCGCGACGCAGTAATTTCCAGGGGTTGAAAATGTGCGGACACCACAAGTTTTCCATATGGAAGCTGGCGAGCGAACAAACTGCGTTTGGAGTTTCTATTATTTCGGGGTGTCCTATTATATTGTTCGCATTCGAGGGGGTTTTTATTCTAAACTACGCATTCCCTGGAAACCACATTCTCGTACAGACGGGGACAGTGCAATAGAACCAGTTGGGCAGCATTCGAAATGCTCTTTGCCCAGAGATCTAATCAAAATTAGCTGTTTAATTAGCAATATAAAATTTATTTTTAGACTATTGTGCACACTTTATACTCTTTTTTTTTTCGTTAATAAAAAAACAATAACCAGTAAATCTTATGACAAAAAATCCCCATATCTTATAGACTTGTTTTTGATTCGTTATTGTCTTTTTTATATCTTCCCAGTTAAATACATTTGATTAATTGAAGATTATAATTTTTAATGAGCGTCATCGGAGGAATCCTCGTTATTTATTTTCTTTGGGTAACCAGAGGCACCCACGTTTCCCAATATTCCCTGCACTAATCGGCTAATGGGGTCAGACGTGTTTTGTTTAACTTTTGATGATGTCTTATCCACCTGGAAAACCCCTCGAACTTCTCGACCTTGTCGTGCCATGCCCATACATATTCAACGATTTTTTAATTGCTGCCAATGCCTGTGGATATCAAACTATCGACTAGGCTGTAATTGCA